TTAACCTCACTTTCATGACCCCCCCCCCCCCGGACATTAACTTCTGAGGAAGTGAATTTCAGAACAAGAAAACTATAAAATGGGTTTTCTTGTATTTTTCATATATGCATCTGTGTGTGAATGCATATGAATGTGTGTGTACCTGGAAGTCATGGCGACCTCTGGTGACTGACTGTCTGCACCTGGAAGTCATGGCGACCTCTGGTGACTGACCCCTATTGGGGGCCTAGAGGATATTCAGAGAGGTGACTGAATAATGCCTGCCCCCATCTCCCACCTCCAGTATTTCAAGAAGGTCTACCATCCAAGCACTTGCCAGAGTCGACCTCGCTTAGCTTCTGAAATCGGGCTTGCCTGGGCTATCCAGGTGAGGGCTAAACTGTAGAATGTTTTGACAACCCAACAATACTTCAGACTAGAAATACAGAATTTCTGGACATTCTGAAGCCATGGGGAAAAATTTCAAAATATGGGGAAAATGAAAATATACAGAACACTTACTTTCATTAACCCTGAACTTATTTAACTACTTTGACAACAGAAAATGTTTCATTTATAACTTGATTACTATATAAAACTGCATTATTTGGCATATTTCAGAAATTCAAAAGAATAAATGCCTTCATTTCTTACAATAAAAACTACAAATATACACAATAGAGAGAGATGCAAAACACTATACCCGTACTACTATAGCATGTATAGTTTAGAAGTAGGGGGAAAAATCAAAGTAGAAAATAGAAAACACAAATTTTGTAACAACAGAAACTGTGTTATACAAACATAATCAGCCTTATACAGTGCTAACAGAGTTTGGGTAGCAAGTTAAACTTCCTAAAACTGAAGTCTTAGTCAGTTACTATCATGCAACTTATAGCTACGGATGTGCAAATAGTGAGTTAGTATCATGCAACTTATAGCTACGGATGTGCATTCAGCATTTCTGAGCCGAATTAATACCCAAATCACGCCTTTTCAGCATGATTCTGGCATTAGTTACGCCGAATCGGATTTTCTGATCTGCTTCAACTTACCGATAAGAGAATCCTGAATTAATTTGGAAATCCCAAATTTTTCAACTCCATTATACCTATTGGGGCCATGATAGTCAATGGCAAATCTGCAAGAGTATATTCAGTGAGCTGGGGGAGAGGGGATTTGAGGTAAAGGCACAAAATTTGCAGTGTAGTTGCTGGAACCTCTCCCCAAAAGAACCCCCAAGTTTCAACAACATTGGATCAGGGGGTCCAATTCTATGGGCACCCAAAGAGAGTTCCCCCGTCCTCCATGGTTTCCAATGGTGGGGGAAATAGCAAGGCGATACAAGCCTAGCAGAATGTCCCAGAGAATCTCTGCAGTTGAAAGTGGAGTGTGTGTGTGGTGGGGCATTTTTGCAAGGCCAGTAACAGAACCAGTGCCACTGTGGCAGTGCCAAAACCCAACAGGACTAAGGTCAGATCTGAGAATCTCTGAAGAAAAGAGGGGCATCTCTGCAAGGATAGCAGAACCAGTGCAATATACTAGTGCCGAGCAGCAGAACCCATTGCCAACCCACTGGCTAGCTCAAGAGGACTAATGTCAAACACAGAATCAGAATCCAAGCAAGGGGGAGAGGGGGTTGCAGGACAGCAGAACCAGAGCAGCAGTGGCTGCCCAGCAGCAGAACCCAGTGCCAATATACTAGTTCTCAGCAGCAGAACCCAGTGCCATTGTGGCAAGTGGCAGTTCAACATTACTGGGCTTCTGTGTATTGGGCTGGCCTTGGTTGAGGTGGGCTAGCAAAAGTGCCTGCCCACCCTGCACTTTTGAGTGTTCTGCTGGGCTTCTACTGCCCTCGATTCTGCCATATATATATTTTTAAATACACTGGGATTCTTTGGTGTGACATTGGTTAGTTCTGTTGCTGCCACATTGGCACTGGGTTCTGCTGCTCAGTACTAGATTTTGAGCTGGCACAATTCATTCTCTTAGTTAGTGTTCTATACAACTTCCCCCTGAGCAACTGGGAAGCAAACACTGATACTTCAATTGCTGTCAAGCAAGTTTCTGTTGTAAAACCTATTGTAACACAACCCCTTCTCTAGAACATAGGAATCGGTGTAGTATGAATGCTCTGAGAGACATTCCAAAGTTCTTTAAAATCTGCCTTTTCTTAAGATGAATAATTTAAACAGGGTTCCATTTTTCTTTTTTCTTGGGCATTTTGGTCACCTACGTGGAATTCTGATTGATTTTGTTAGGCAGTATATTCAACTGACAGCTTATAGTTTTGCATCTCAGTTCTCTTTGGGTAATTCACAGAAGCATTTAGAACAATGGGACAAGCAAAGACTCAGATAGTATCCACAGTTCTGCCCAGCCAACGTTCCTTCTGTTTCTGACGTGGCAAGCAGAAGAGACTAGAACTGAAAATCAGGCAAAAACTTCCTACGAAGGATCCCCTAGGAGTTGCTCATATGGTACCTCGATTGTTAAAGGCATATTCAGCAGGGGAAGAATCAGTAACAATTTCTTTGACAATTCAGTCAGCATATTTATCAATTGCTTTGATTAAACAATATTTTAACTCTAGTAAAAGGTTACCTTCAGCTTGAATTCATTCATTCAAAGCAATTGTACAATTAGCACAATCCCGTGAGATGTTGGCAGCTAAGAGTCCAATAAGGCAGTGCAAGAGTATATACTTTACATCCAGGAGGTCACAGACCTAATCTACAGTGTCCAGTTGTTGTTTTTTAAAGGAAGTCAGACAACATGAGTAGACAATACTCGGCTATGTGGACAAGGCAGGTTGATAAGATCATAAATTATAAGTAAGCCCTAAGACACTTGCTATCACTTACGTTAAAAGTAGAACTGAAATAGGAAGCTAAAAAGCTTATTTGTCCTGTTCTAAAGGTCTGAGTAGTCTTCTCTGACCTCAGTCTATTACAGTAAGAAAACAAACCACTGACCAAAAACTCAATTACACCACTAGTGGTGTTGTGGTTAAGAGTGGTGGACTCTTTCACCCCCACCTATCTCACAAGGTGCCTGGTGTGAAGGTAAGATGATTGTAAGCTACTTTGAGGCTGCAATCACACACACTAAATAATCCACTTTCAATGCACTTTCAAACTGGATTTTTACTGTGTGGACTGGAAAAATCCAGTTTGAAAGTGCATTGAAAGTGAATTGAAAGTGGATTATTTAGTGTGTGTGATCGCAGCCAGAGACTCCTTAAGGTAGAGAGAAGTGAGGTACAAGAACCAACTCTTCTTCTTCTAGACTGGCCCATAAAATTAAAAAGACCCCAGAGCCAGTGAAGAGAAACATTATTTCCACCCCCCCACACAAAAATCTAATTAGCCAAAAATTACAACTGCAACAGCATGAAGCACAGATATGCCTCATTATCTGACCATCAGCATTAATTAACAGGATTAGTAAAACCTGCAGACCACAGCAGGGAGCTGATTTTAGTTAACACAGCTTTTCAGATCAGAACTTGTCAGGAGGAGGAGATCTTGCTCAACATCTGTTTTGTGTTACTTGGAAGATCCAGTTAAAGATGCATCATCTCAGGAAGAGGTCTGAGAAAGGGAGCCAAAATACCCCAGCAGGAGAGAAAAATGACTGCAACATTTAGACATGCTCTTGGAATCACAATGATCTTAACTGCATTCAGTTTCTTCGTTGGACTTAAAGATTCTCTTCGCAACTGTCCTGATATCTGTGTTTGGTTTGCCCCACCAAATTAAGCTCTCTTCTACTCCCACTATTTACATCTCTGAGACAGTAAAGTGGCTGAGGGACTTGGATGGACTTCAAGTTGTGCCTCTGGACTGTTTGAGTTTCCTTGACTGCCGAGATTGAACAGTGAAGCCCATGATGGTGATAAAGTCATAAATCATTATCCCAACAGAAGGCATAACCAATATTCAAATCAGATAAAAATGGATTGCACTGCCCACCATAATCACCATCAGTTATCCTTATTTCTCAAATAAAGTATTAAACACAGACAGCATGTAGAAATGGATCGCACTGCCCACCATAATGCATGAAATAAAGTATTAAACACAGACAGCATGTTACACCACAAGCATCTTAGTGCTTATAGCACATACTGAAGGTATGGTAGCTGCTATGCAAAATGACTGCTGTGGGTTTTAAAAATATGCTTTTATTGCATGACAGGCATGACAAGCCCTCAGAAGGTGATAATTACTAGGTTTGGTTTTTTCCTTCAAACCGGATGGCAATGTGAGGATCAAAGATAAATTCGCATAATATTATGATATTCCAAGCAGTTCTCCATATTTGGGGACTAATACTATATATGGTGACTAATACGTATGTATATACAAAGGTGCAGCCATCCCCCAAAGCTACAGCCTGTAGTAGGTACACCAAGGGGTAAAGAATTTGATCAAGAAACTGTGTGACTTTTCCTCCATAGTAATGCTTGGGATTAGAGCAAGTGTACAAGGTGTGAATCCAGACTAATCTGATGAGGTTGAGGCTACAGATCTATGATTCTGAAGTGCTGGCCACCTCTTCAAGGGTGGTAATGTGGGTCATCCTCATGAGGCCGCAGAATATGGCCAGGATGGGCTAGTGCAAAGTGGTGGGAGAGATTGGCTAGATGAGTATTCAGCACTCTGAGCTCCTGGCTGATGTTGTCAACGCTGGACCTCATGGTTTGGAAGGTATGAAGCAATTTCTCCAGAACAAAGGGATCCTGGACATGTGGTAATCTCCCACCAAGAGTAGTAAAAGCAGGGCCAGAACTTGTCCTCTGATACGAATATGGTATCCCAAAGCTCCTGCGTGGGCTTATGCCCATTCCATCTCCCTGCCGTTCAGCCTCCACAGCAAAGTCAGCTGAAAAGCCAGCCCTGGCTCCTTTTGTAACCCGGCTATTTCCAGAGTTCTGGGGATTAGCACCCAAGCGAGGTGGAGAAGCGTGTGAGGAATACATGCGGCCAATAACATCAGTCTGGAAAGGGGCAGGAAATACACCCGATGAACTGCCAGTAACAGACAATGGATTATATCCCAGAAGAATCTTCCTTGCAGCAGAGGAGGTGGACTGAAAGTCACGAGAGTGGAAAGTCGATGTAGCAGAAGCAGAGGGGCCCAACACTGAGGAATGCAATTCAGGTAGGATTCTGAAGGGCAATGATGGTTCTGTAAAGGAAAATATGTGCAACTGAAGCTATGGTTGCATATGCTTCTAAACTGAACTAGCTAACACTTAAACATTTAGCATGCTCTATGTAAGATCTAGATGTACTAGGGGATGGGTCAGAGGGACATTTTGACATACACAACAGGGGTTAGTTACAAAACACTCAGCCTAGAAGCATTAATACAGAGTGCCCAGCCACTATTCATTCTTCCTCACGTCCATTTTATATTCAAACATACTAGTCAAGTAACCCACTTACCAATGGCTGTCTGTAGAATGAGATTCTTCCACCAGGTGCCTGGTCAAATTCCTTCTCCAGAGAGAAGTACCCAGGACATCATCATCCGAAAAGTCTCATTTTGGGAGATGACAGAGGGTGTTCATCCAGCTCAGAGGGGGTAGAGGATGTGCTCACTAAGCACAGGGGACAGGGCTAAGGAGGGGAGACGACTGATGCATCCACTCTGTTACCCTTATTTCTCAAGATAACAAAAAAGTTGACTATTGCCTGTAAGCAACTGTACACAGCGTGAAACCACTAAGTGGAATTCTTACTATTCCATTACCAAGTCTCGAGTTACTGTGTTGATGAAATGAATTTTCTCCTCCCATCTATATGTCTGTGAAACACAAGCTTTATACCAAAGTGTCAACAGGTATTAAGCATGGAAAACTAAGGTTTAATAAGAGATATTAAATCAGTCAGGAAGTATATACTAATTATCCAAGAATCCAGCCAATTATACAGGAATGAACTGGAAAATTAATTTTATAAGTTAATAACTCAATCTCTATCTTCACGACAAGCCAGTATTCTATTCTTCACTGATGGGTAATTGAAAAACTAATTCGCTCAAGTCAAGGCTGGTATTCCTAGTCTCAGGCCAACTGTCCAACCATTTACAGGCTTTCTGGCTTACATATGATACATATGCTCAGCACAGTAAACTCGCTCTCTTTCTGGACACCCAATATTTTTTATGCCTAATACACAGCATGGAATGTACTATCCTAAAGCATTTGTGAACTATCATACCTAAACATTAGTGCCTAGCTATTTGAATAAACCATTTTCTCCCTATGAACTTTAATACTGAGAACTGTGTAGAGTTAATAGGCAAAGTTTTTTTTCTGATTTATATTTTATATCACCAAGGGAAAAGCAGAGTTGTGAAAAAATAATTTATGTATTTAGCAAATGCCTACCCTGCCATCAGGCAGTTCACAGAACCCCGCTCCTCTCCCCAAAACTATTTAAGTACAAGGTCAACAGGTTCCTCTGGAGTCACCATTTCTTGCTGCAGTTTCCCTGTGGGAATTTTCTGACATCCATCAACCTCAGCCTCCCTACTGCAGTCTCCCTCTCACAGGACTTTTGGTCATGAAGCACCCATGATCCCCAGCAGAGCCTTTTTGGTGGTCAAAGAGGATCCTATACTCTTTCCTCCCACCAATGGAAAGGTTGATTGGCTCAAACCCACAGATGCCAATTTTGCATCTTTTAAACCCCAAGCTGCATGCCTGTTCTTTTGGGGGAGGTACACAGTACTACTCCCATGGCTTGATAAAACATTAAACAGAACCACCATCCCACCTGGACTGTTCACCCTCAATAGAGCCAACAACCAACTATAAAGTACCTGCTAGGACCTCCATAGCTGCCCCTGAATTAGATAAAAGGGTAGAACTGGGCATCATCGACATACTGATGGCCTCACCCAATGATTTCATGTAGACATCAACTAGCACGGGCAACAAGATGGGACCTTCTGGTACCTTGCACTATAAATGCCAAAATAGCAACCCTCTGCTAAACAAAAGTGGAACCACCAGAACATGGTGCCTCCAATTCCTAATGTGGGCAGATGATACGGAAGGTTAACATGGTTGATGGAGAACTAGTAGATGTGGAAGGTTAACATGGTTGATGGAGAACTAACAGCACTCCCCTTGTCATCTGTTGGCATAGATCATCCAGTGGGCCAACCAGAACTGCCTCTGTACCAAAACAGGTTGACAGTCAAATGGAATCGGGTCCAAAAATCAGCATCGTCCAGGAACACCTGGACCTGAGGCACCAACAGTAAACAATTTAACAACACTGCAGGTTGAAAAAAAGTTCAGTTAGTAGTAGTAATAAATATATAACACAAAATGAACAGAACCATAAGATTGCCAGCAAATCAGTATGAAGTCAAACCATATCTCTGGCTGTTTGTTTATCTGCTGATGTATTTGTTACTTTCCTTTATGTGAAAGCTATTAAGAAGTTGCAATGATTTTTGGCTATGAGTGAAATTTACAGTTACTGATAAATTACATGTAAACTTGGCAGCAACCTACAGGTTTAAGCACTTGTACCCCCAAAGACACTCACCACTACCAGAGATCATCTCATAAAGTTCTGAAATGTAACAGCTACTGGAGTGGAATGCACCATCCATTATTCAAGTCACTTCAGCCACTAAAAGGACTTTGTGAGCTGCCTACCAAACATCTCCTGTGCTCTCTCCATTTAGGAACAGATCTGTGATCAATGCCTGGTGCATGTAAGTGACCAACTTGAATAATACACGCTTACCTTCTTTGGTCTTTGAAGCATTTGCAGCAATTTCTCGCTCTGACGTTTGTGGAGAAGGCCCTTGCTCTTGCCCTGCAGTTTCATCCATTTTCTCCTTTGGTTTACAGTCCACATCTGGTTTCTTTTTTGGTATATTGAGGACGTTAGGGGTGAGAGATGGGCGCTGAATAGGTGCTGGTTTAGAGACCGTAACAGGAGATGGTGGCCTTGGTCTTAAGATGCTTGGTGAAGGTGGTCGAGGCTTTTGTCTGCCAAGAAAGTGGTGCTATCAGGACTACAGGATTCACTCTCACATCAGATAACACTTAGCTGCCATTTGTTTTATCTGCCTACAGCAAGAGTGTGCATCCACAGGACAGAACAGACTTTCTTGTACACCTTGGCCCAATAGTCAGTTGGTTTCATATTACACTCTGGCTTCTGATCAGGGGAGTTTATGGTATTAAACCACTGAGAGTGCTTCCCTCACCAGTGGTCTTGCACTCATATGTATCAAAATATATAAATATCCTTCAGTCTACTGCAAGAGAGCTCCTCCTCTCTTACAAGACAATCATACTTGTTAAATTGATACGGATCTCATTTTTCAGCTCCACCTAAGGCAACTCCCAATCCACAGACATGGGGTCTTTCACCCTATTCTGCTTCTCTACTTCTTCCTCATATTGGGACTGGGTACGCATAAGTTTCCAAATATTCCTTAATAGCTTTAATCCATTCAAAAGCAGATGCCCAGCAGACAAAGCAAAGCTGATTTTATGAATTATTTATTTATTTATTTTCTCAAACTTATACCCCGCCCTCCCCGCAAGCAGGCTCAAATCAATTACGATTTGGGAAGAGCAAATAAATTTACTAGACAGAAACCTGATTGCAGCTGGAGATGGAGGGCGTTTACCCAGTTTAGCAGGAGAGGGCGATCGTCTGGAAGTGGACAATGATGGTGATGGTGCACGCCTCCCAGCGGTAGACGGAGACTGTTTTCCTACTTCAAGTTTCTGGGGAAAGAACAGAAAAATACAGGTCAACTTGCTTCCTAAAACATATATAGGTGCCAAGAATGAGACAGAGTGTCACTACATATGAATCTTTTAAAAATCTTAACTCTATAGGATTAATAAAGCCACTTTAGCAGATGTGAGCTACAGAAAATCTAGAAAAGTTCCAGCGTACGTTCTCACAACACAATGAGGTTGGACAGAATCTGCACTGCAGGACTGATAAAACTGAACCCATCTCCAATGGATACAAATTCAAACTCCACAAATGAAAAGGGCATTTGCAGTTCTAGTTCAATATGATTGGAAAACAGACAACTCTTCCCTATCCTCAAAAGGGACTCTCTAAATAGCACATTGTCTCTTCAGTTTGATTCAACATTAATAACTCAAGAGACCAAGCAAACAGATGCAAAGTATGTGTGTGTGTGTATGCGTAAAAGTGCATCAAGTTGCTTCTGACTTATGGCGACCTTATGAATTTTTGTCCTCCAAAAGGTCCTATGGTTAACAGCCTTGCTCAGGTCTAGCAAACTAAGGGCCTTGGCTTCCTAGATTGAGTTAATCCACCTCGTGTTGAGTCTTCCTCTTTTCCAGCTGCATTCAGCTTTTTCTAGATACAAAATACCACTTCTCAAATTGCTACTGTGCAACAGAAAGAGCTAAATATTGTATTATCATCAAAACTGCTGTGAATCCATCAGCATGAAGCCATCAGGTTGCTTTGGCATCCTCAAAGGTATTTATCTAAAAAGCAGAATCCATTATTCCAGTACACATAAAAGAACCACCAACCTGTGCATGTTCCAGAGAAATATTATCTGATGAAGAGGCAGTTATCGTCTTCAACCTGTCAATACTGCGGCTGCGTACAGGTGCTTTGGGACCGTGAACTGGGGAACTGTTGGGAGCTGAACGAGGACAGAGGGGAGATTCTATAAAGTTAGGAATATGACAAGACAAACAGACCACCAATGGCACGGCATTGGAAAAGGGAAACACGAGGGGAAGTAGGAGGGAGAAGACAAAGAAACAGGGAAAGAAAAGACAGTACTTGTTAAGAACTGTATCAAGGATTACCATGGGAAGTTCACAGTGTGAGATATCACAGTGACAGACACCACCACCACAATTAGTATCCACTTCACAAAAGCACCACAACAGGAATGAAAAGAGCATGAAAGGAGCAGGCTGCTAAAGCTAAAAATGAAACATTTCTCCTAGGCAATCCTAGGCTGAGGTAGCAATACCACTCTTTATTCAAAGCTAGATGCAAATGAGAAGGGAATGCTTCTGCAGGGCCAGAATCATAGTTTACAATGACTAGAAAAGACCACACAAAAAGTCAGGTTCTTTTGTGCCTCTTGCGAGACAAAATTAAGAACAAGTATTGGATTCCTACAGGCAGGGGCCTGATTTACTTGCAGTACTTTTATTTATAACTCTGTGTTCTGAAAGCACTTCAGAAATAATGAAGTTATTCTTACTGCTATTCAGCTTATGTTGTAAAGATAATTCAGATGACCAGGAGGCCAGTGTGTGCAAATACCAACAAGCATTGTGATGAAGCAAAGTTAACAGCAAAGAAATTCTGCCCAGTGCCCAAATGAGGGGTGGATAGATTTCTTGCATGGCTGACTTTAAAATAATGGTAAAAGAGAAAAGATGTGGCAGGATTCAGATCGCAGTACGAAAGGCAAAGAGGAATAGGGGAAGATGCTCCAGCAGCAAGCAAAGTGGGGAAGTTCTCTGACTGAGCTCTAAGAATTTGGTGAAAGCAAACTTTTCCAGGAACAAGGAGAGTTGGCAAGCCAACTGTCCATCATTTGGAACACATTAAAATCAGTCTCAGGGCAGTTAGACAAAGGATCTCCCTGGGTGAGTGATCCAAACAGAACATGACAGTGTAAATATTTGAGCAGGCATCTCTATCTGCAGTTTCAGTAGTGTTCTGAAAGTGCCATTTCATGTGATGTGATTCTTGTGGCTAGCACAGTTCAGCTTGAAACTCATGGGGACGCAAGAAATCTTAGAACCGGGCTGTCACATACTGTACTGAACTTTCCCCCACATTGTATTCCAGTCTGAGGTTGGGATAAACTAGAGCAGATCCTGCGGTCATGTGGAAATGCTTCATTCACCTAGATTTGTTTTAATAACTCACTGCGTATAATGGGATTTTGTTTAGCAGGCTTCAGCTTTGCCTCCAAGACAAAATGCTATGTCTGGTCTTCTACTGCATGCCTGTTACCTGAGGGATCTCTGCCATCAGCTGATAATGTGGCGGCACTTTTACTCCTAGCTAAGGAAGCTTGGGTGGGGGCGAGCAGGCGACTGATCACGTTACTCTCCAGAGGGATGAACTGGGAACGACGAGCTAAATGATGGGAACAAACCAAAGAGGATTCAACACAAACGTCCAATAATGAAGGAAGCAGCATAAAGAGAAGGAAGGAAAGGAGGGGAATTACTGAAAGTGAGTTTCAAAAGGGAAAGAAATCATTATGAGAGAGGAAGACCACCGTATGAACACAGCATCACAAGCACTGTGCATACTCATTACAAACACCTGTTTATACCAGACAACCACCAGTAACCCTATGTACTTTTTAAACTCATACATCCTCCAGGGAGTTCAAAGCACCCATGTGAGGCTAAGATTTGTCAGACTGCCATTTCCACCATCCAACAGTAACTTCAAAAAGTCTGGTATAACAGGAAAAAAACTGGAACACCATAGCAAGATACCATAATGCAATTTGAAAGCATTGCATTGTTTGCCTACATTAATGGTTTCGCAGGCAGCAAATGACATGCAGACAGAACACATGAATGCGTTTTAGATGACAGCTGGAATAGATTATCAGGTTAGTTTGGCGGTGGTTCTTTCCTGGAAATTCAAGATGTGGCAAGTCATGCAGCATAAAGACAGAGAAACCTCAAAAAAGTGACTAAAGAGTTAAATCTTTTTTTGCTTGTATAGAAGTTCTCACACAAATTTAACTGTTAGGTTAACATGTAGGCATTGTAATGAATACCTCTGCATGCCAGTAGGAAGTGTAAGGTTTTTATTAGAAAGGAGAATTGCAAGAAACACTGATATGGCAGTATCTACCAACTTCATTCAAACAAAGTAATGATATTACTAGAAAAGAAGCCTTGACCTTTAAATATTAATGCAGAGACTAGTTAATTATCAAGAGTGAACACAACTAAGTCCAGAAGTAGGAAGTGAGATGTTTTAGATACACACAGCACTAACGCTTAAATTTGTAACAGACTTCTGGAATGATTTGATCAATTGCTTGGATGTTCCTAGCAAGGATCTATGACAATGCCATATAATTTAACAAATCTTTACAGTTTCCCCAAGATGAGAAAATAATCCTAAACCAATGTCCAGCCCCCTTCACCCTTAAAGGTACTGGCAGGAGTGAGTTGTGTAAACTGTTAACCACCTGCTTTTTCTTCTTTTTGCACACTTTCTAAATCTGGAGAAGACTGAAGTTTATTGCCCATTCTACTCAAGGATGAGCTCCTCTTCTTTTCCATTGCTCCTAGACACCAAACACAAGGGATATTTTCAAAATGTGTTCATGCAGCTCACGTACCAAGTTGTACAACTGCAAGGGACTATCAGAAACATCTTTAACTGGGAATGTTTAATCAAGGCCACATCCCTGCTTTTGAAGATATTGAAAGAAAACAAATTCAAAGTGAAACAGCAGAAAATCACTGTATATAGTTACAAGGAAGACTAATTTTAAATCAGTGCTATTCAAATCACAAAGAAATTTAAGTGAAATGATTTTTCACCTTTCTAATTAACTTTCTGAACACATGCACATAATGTAACTTGCTGCTGTAATAATTTAGCACAATAACCTGAAATTAAACAGAGTATAGTACTAAAGAGTCTAATGTAGTCTAAACCTTCATAATTTGAACAATAATAAATTCATGCCCTATTTGCATCATATTTGTTACTCCATAATTCTTTTACATAGAAAAGCAGACTCAGTGAGTTCAGACAAACAGTCATGGACTCAGTTTCCAAAGAGCTCAGACTTTAATGAATGTGTGCTTGCAATGCAAACATGTAGAAAGGATAACAATGTGTGAGGGATGGGCTACAGGCTGGAAATAACCAGTATATTTTAAAGTACTATAAACTGCTTTGAGGACCTGAGAGTTTTAAAAATTATGTAAATCTTTAAAAAAAAACCCCTGAAATGAATTCCTATTCATGGAACCTGTACGTGAGAGCTCAGTGGATTGATCCCTAAATGGACTATAAATATAATAATAGTAACACTGTTCAGATTTAACATTCTTATTGGTAACTTCTTAAAAAACTGGTTTATCAGCAACAAATATTCCCGTTTGTCTAGCTGCATTTAAAAGTTTGTTTGCTGCACCTTTCTGCTCCACCTGTAAACCTTTGGACACTGGCTGCTCAGAATTCAGAGGAACTTTGTTATTCAGTCTGTTTAATGAAGCACTTCTTTTAGTGGTGCCTGTAAGGGAAAAATCAAGCCATGATCAAGAATGAAAGCCTTAATGCAATCAACCCCAGGATTATGATTTACAGAAGATAATCAATTTCTCTGATTGAGCTACAATCCATATCAAACCCCATGTATCTAGAAAAAGGACAGACAACCTTGATTAATTCAGAGAGCAGCTACTTTTCAACCAGAAGATATCCATTACACAAATAATTTTTCTCAAATGACAATCCTTGTGTGCATCGTCTATCTAATGTTAACAGTATACACCAATATGTTTATAAGGATTTTCAAGAACATTTTTAGACCCCAGGCAACTACTACAAGTGCAGAAAGAACAGTGTGAGCATATGCATGCACATACACACAAATGCATTTTTTTCAATGCTTATGCAGAAATTTCAGAATATGTGAAAACTTTTAAAAGGTTTTTGTCTAGAATTTTTTACCCAAATCATCCTGCTGAGATAACTGCTACTTTATATGAAAGTTGCAGTTTCATCAATTACATAATTCAAGGAATGATAACTAAACTGCATGTGAAAAATGCACTTCAAGTAACTGACAAAGTGGCCTCTGGCTTCTGCAGTAAAAAAAAAAAGTTAGTCTTTAAGGTGCCATAAGAGTATTTGTTATCCAGCTTCTCTTGTGAACTGGAAAATATTATTTAATATTTAAAAGGAAGTACTTGATCATTTAACTAGACAATGACATAGTTCTCAAGTGACAGTAGATTAGGTCATAAAAATGTCTCTATATGGTGCCACTTCAGATTTCTTGGGGTGGGCTGCACGATTAAATGCTCTTACACATACACCCTTTAAAAAGCCAATGTCCAAAGGTTTACAGGTGAATCGTTTTAACTGATTCATTATGAAAAGCCAAATGTTGGTTTAAGTGACAGTGACCAGAGGTAGTTGAGTTTCTATCTTTCTAATTATCAGAAGTAAATTATGCTATAAATAGCTGAGGTGACCCAGCTCTATTAAGTTGAAATCTAGTATATCACAGCAAAACTGCGGACAGAACGAATGTGAATTGATGAGCCCACTTCATGCTTGGTATCCCTTATTGGACAAGATTAATATAGACAAATTTGACTGGGAAAATGTCAGTAATGCTAAATACAAATTGTTGTTATATAACTAAAAATTGTTGTCTTGTACGGTTAGAGAAGTGTAGTTTTCTCGCAATACCCTTGCTTTGTTGTTTTGGACTTCCCTGTTGGATTTTTTTTTTCTGTATGTATAAAACTCTCAATAAAATTTATGGTTTAACAATGAAAAAATTTTTTAACTAGACAATGACATAGTTCTCAAGTGACAGTAGATTAGGTCATAAAAATGTCTCTATATGGTGCCACTTCAGATTTCTTGGGGTGGGCTGCATGATTAAATACTCTTACACATACACCCTTTAGAAAGCCAATGTCCAAAGGTTTATAGGTGAATCATTTTAACTGATTCATTAAGAAAAGCCAAATGTTGGTTTTAGTGACAGTGACCAGAGGTAGTTGAGTTTCTATCTTCTTAATTATCAGAAGTAAATTCTGCTATAAATAGCTGAGGTAACCCAGTTCTATTAAGTTGAAATCTAGTATATCACAGCAAAACTGCGGACAGAACACTGGACACAGGCATACTACATGTTATCAATATGTGCCTCACTAAACTGCCTCTTCCACACACACCCCAACTCTGTGCACCATTGGGAAGAAAGGGATGATCATTTATAACTTTTTGTCAGTATGCAGTAAGCCATCCCCATGCACCTCAAGGACTCAAGTACTACTTAAAGAAGAAAAAAACTCATTATCATGTTTTAGAAAGTTGACTATTTAACTGTGGATCAAGTGAAATTGTGATTGAAAGCATGCAAATCCTTAAAAGTTAGCTAAGAAAAGGTGCGCAGAAAATCATTTGTCATGATTTGGCTTCCTGAATTCCAAAACTGAGCAGAGGGACTGCAAAATGTTTACCATGGCTCTTCTGTTCTAACAGACATCACATTCAGCAACCATGAAGTGAAGAACTGCACAGTTCACTGGAGTAACAAAATGGGTGAAATATATTTAAGACCAAATATCAGGGAAACATGATAGGGGAGGAAAAGCAGAGTTAAAACTCCTCTACGCGCACAAACTTACTCTTGCTTGGAGAATTAAGAAGTGCTGCTGACGATGAGAGCCGTTTATTGATCTCTACTTGCTTGAGGTTTGCTGAAGAAGTAGAACGTTTGCTAGCTGAAGAAAGAAATAGTTATTTTAACTTTTGGCGCCAAAAAGGCATTCTGAACTTCCCTGAAGCTCTTCCTGGAAGCCATCTTCCCCACAGATCTGTGATTAAACCTTGACACGCGAGGGAAATAAACACTGAAGGTATGAGGCATGCTAAATCACATGTTACTGTGCAGTCAGCATCTAACAGGTTTACAAAAATGCTATACAAATTTATGGTATGTTCCTCAAAGCCAAACTTGCTGCCCTCTTAGGTAAAATCAAACTCAATTTCTTCTAATTTATCAAACTGGCTATTCAAGGATATCAATACACATTTTAAAGCAAATTTAACATAACTACAATTCTTTTTGTAGGTTGATAACTTGAAGATGGAATTAGATGGCCTGCCCGTGTTTGGGTGCACTGGGTGTATTCACCCATGCAGTTCAGAGAACCTAAATATGCCTATACATTTTTAAAAGAGTTAGCAGATTCCCTCCTTCTGCTGCAACCCACCAAACCTGCAAAATGCTGTTCCCAAGGGTCAGCAGCCCCTCAACAACAGTATAGTGGGGATTTGTAGTGGGAGAGGGGAATCCACAGAAATAGCCCTCCCCTCTTTAGAAAGCTTTAGTACCCTTCAGTTTGTGGAACATGCTTGGGCACAGGTCATTACAGTGGTTAAAAGAAAAGGCTGTGATCAGGAGGGCCTCTGATTCAAATCCCTCCTTTGCCACAAATTTGCTAGAAGGTCTAACGTGAGCAACACTCTCCGGTTCAGTTCAACATGGGGATAGATGTACTAGCCTAGCTTACAGAGCTGTCATAAGGATTAGTGGTTTATATATGAAACATTATTTGGAAGTCTGCACCAGAAGGAGGAACAGAGTCATATCTTCCAGGCCAAACTGTCAACTGTTAGCTCAAGGCAAAGAAAAATGCCAAAAAATATGAATCTGCCATTGGCTATAGGTTCAGGACATAAATTTATGATTGTGCATACCTTTTCCAGTCCCCAATAGTGATCCTTTGGCTGAAAGGATATATGAAAGTAAACCCTAAGCAGAGTAGTTCTACATGTTGAAGCATTTCATTTTGAAGAAGTAATTTTAACTGGGGACTTCTCAAGATGTAATAGCACTTAATATTAATGAAATGCTTGGAAAATGAATCTATGAAAATGTTCAAGATACAATAGCACTTAATGAAATGCTTGAGAAACATCTATGAAAATGCTGTTAGCCATTTATATAGGAAAGCTGCAGGCAACCGAAGAGAAGTCTCAAGTTCTGCACAGAAAGATGGCTCCTGAATACATTTTGGCTAGCAGTGCAAAAACATACTGAGGGCAAAGCTGTTAACTTGTTAGTAAGTAAAGCCACACTCAAAAAAGGCTAGGAGGACTACAGTGCCTTGAGGAAGCTTTTATCACGTAGCATTTGTATATTCACAAGAACTGCTGCTGAGCTCCACAAATGGTTTTAGTCAGGGGTCATTTCCTGCAGGAGCGCACAGGAGTGGAGCTCTGGCAGTAAAGAGCCCAGGGGGCAGGCACATGCAACAAGCCCCGGCACCCTGCTCCTTCTCTCCCTCT